GCGTAAGTCACTGCACCCGGCCGATCTTTGTAGTTTCTTAGGCAAAATATACATGTTTGTTTTATCTTTCACTTACCTGATTTTGGAGGCATCACATGTCTACAGTCATGAGCCACCCCAATGGGCCTTTTTTCTTTCTTTTTTTTTTTTAGTAAAGAAAGATAAAAATAATGTACATTCTTTGTAAGATACTGGAAAAAAACTTGGTTTCCAAAGAGTTTCCATCCAGTGCCAAATCCAGAGAAATGAGCCTGCACCCTCCAGTGCTATGTCAAATCTAGACAAACAAGAGGCAAATGTTATCTACATTAGTAAATGTATAGTCTTTAAAAGCAAGAATGGGAATTCCTTGGGACCAAAAATGCAAAGAATTCCTGGAAGTGGACTCTGGATTTCTGGATAATGAATCTTGAGAGGAAGCAGCAGCCCCAGATGGCAAGTGCTTATTGGGGGAACTCTACTGGTAACCCCAGGAAGCTGGCTTCAACATTTCCTTCATGAAGTAGCAGGAATAGGTCTTTCGAGGCTTGAATAATGAGTGGAGGCTTGTGTTGTAGAGAGGGGGCAGTGCTTAATTGGCTATATGTACACACAGAGAAGAGGGGTTTTCCCAATGGGGAACCTCATTACCCAGGCATTACTCATCTCTGCTGAATAGCCTGTCATGCAGACATGCCTCTCCCTGCAAACAGTGTACAGCATGTTACTAGCTCCTTTCAACTCTCCTAAAGTGCTGCCTGAGATAAACGATACTTCATTAGGGAATCTTGATTTACACAATCTTAAACCGTACTGTTATTTTAGAATCAAAATTCTACTGGTCTCTAGTACTGTGAAAGGCTGTTTAAAGAATCACATTTTGCTCTTACGCATTATTTATATTCTATTAAATCCCAGAAGAAGTAAAACTCATGAGCTTGGGTGATAGAGGGATCAGATAATCTGACAGAAAAAGAAATAACACACCTTTTAGCAGTCACTTGGCTTTTCCTTACCAATCTTTTGGGTACACCTCTGGCCAATTTCATAATTTATTGTGTTAATATCATCATTTATTTTTGCAGTCTTAGTGTTAGTCATTAAACTATTCAGTCAAAACTAAATCAAAACATCCATCTCTTTCACCTGTATTATCTATCATGTCTGACTGGAAGCCAGCAAGACCTCCTGGACAAGGCACTCTGAGATTGTCCAGTCCAGATATCTTCCACTTGGGCCACACAGGAAGCCACCATTTGCCTCCCATCTATCCATGATTGGATTAAACTTGCTCTAGACACAGAGCGTTTGTACCTGAGATACTCTGTTGATGAGAACTTCATTCTTTGATTTTGAATGGCTTCCTCCATTGCATTATTCAGATCTTAGTTGGAAGGACACCCCCACATCTCTGATAATTTTATTCTGACTACCCAGGATAAAAGTAGCACCCTCCCAGTTGCATTCTTTCCAATTAACTTGCATAACTTTCTTGACAATACTTCTCATTTAAAAATACTCCTGTTTATCTATTTGCTCACACGTTTTCTGTCTGCTTCTGGCCAGAAAGGTGTCAGGCTCTTTATAGTAGATGGGGTATCTTCCTGTTGATTGATTTGTCTCCAGGATCTTGATTACCATACAGCACAATGCCTACACTTACTAAGTGCCTACACTTAGTAAGTGTATGAGTGGAGAAGAAATGAATGCATGTAAAATTCTCCAGCCACGAGCTGAACAGAAAAAGGCAGGTGTCATTTAAAAATAAAAATGTACCTTTCTTGGAAGTTTTTGTTTGATTGTTGTCTTCTTTTTGCTTCTGAGAAAATACAAGTAAACTTGCTACAACTGCCTAAGGCTAGCATGACCCAATGAATCAGACCTGTTCAAAATGACAGTCAACTCTATTTTGTGTATTGTCACTCAAGAACAGTATATTTATGTGCCTCTTCTCTCTAAGCTAGGAGTTCTGAAGCAGTTTGCACCATAGGTTAACAACAAATTCAACAAATTCCAGTGTTTGATATGTTGATTCCTGGTAACAGAAAGGTGGCATCCTTCTTCTCCACTCTCTTGACACACACATACTCTTTTTTTTTTTTTTTTTGAGACGGAGTTTCGCTCTTGTTACCCAGGCTGGAGTGCAATGGCGTGATCTCAGCTCATCGCAACCTCCGCCTCCTGGGTTCAGGCAATTCTCCTGCCTCAGCCTCCTGAGTAGCTGGGATTACAGGCACACACCACAATGCCCAGCTAATATTTTGTATTTTTAGTAGAGACGGGGTTTTAGCATGTTGACCAGGATGGTCTCGATCTTTTGACCTCGTGATCCACCCGCCTCGGCCTCCCAAAGTGCTGGTATTACAGGCTTAAGCCACCGCGCAAGGCCCACACACATACTCTTTTCCCATTAATGAGCATGAAGGTTTGAAGTGAAATATTTACTGCTGCAATTGTTTGTCTGAATGCATGGAAGAGGTGGAAGCCCTGATAATCCACTGCCCTGCATACAGCGAAGCCTGGGTCTAAGAAAAAGTCTGTTGAACTGAGGCTCAGACTGATGCCTGAATTCTTATTTATTTATTTAGAGACAGAGTCTCACCCTGTCACGCAGGCTAGAGTGCAGTGACATGATTACAACACTCCATCTCAAAAAATAAAATAATATAATATATAATAGTTTGCTAGCCAGAAGTGCTTTTTTTTGAAGTGGAGTTTTGCTTTCTGCCCAGGCTGGAGTGTAATGGCACCATCTGGCTAACTGCAACTTCTGCCTGCTGGGTTCAAGTGATTCTCCTGCCTCAGCCTCCCAAGAAGCTGGGATTACAGGCATGTGTCACCATGCCCAGCTAATTTTGTATTTTTAATAGAGATGGGGTTTCTCCATGTTGGTCGGACTGGTCTCAAACTCCAGACCTCTAGTGATCCGCCCACCTCAGCCTCCCTAAATGCTGGGATTACAGGCATGAGCCACCATGCCTGGACACATTTTTTGTTTTAATCTGCATTTCCTTGATTTTAGTGAGCCTAAGCTTATTTTTTCTATAGGTTTGAAGGCAACTTTTCTCTTTATAGACATTAACCTTTTGTCAGAAGATTAAAATATTTTTCTCAAGTTTTCTTTGGCTTTCAAATTTAATTTTATGTGTTTTTTTTTAAGGGAAAGTGAACAAAGAATATTTAGCATTTGTATATTCAAATGTGTCAGTCCTTTTCTTTGAAAATTCAGAGTCTACATTCTGTTTTTTCCATTAGTTTTTTAATGTAATAAAACATAAATTAAAAATTTACCTTTTTAACCATTATTAAATGTATAGGTCAGTAGCATTAAGTATATTTGCAATGTTTCCTTCTAACCTGAGCAAGTTAGAAGGAAAGCCCACACTCTGAGTTCCAACTGACAGTCCTTTACTGGCCGGGCACGGTGGCTCACCCTTATAATCCCAGCACTTTAGAAGGCCAAGGCAGGTGGATTGCTTGAGGTCAGGAGTTTGAGGCTGGCCTGGCAAACATGGTAAAACCCCATCTCTCTATATATAAAAAAAGGGTCCTTTATTGTCAGCAACCAAGAGTCAGCTCCGAGCTTAAAATCTCTCAGCCCTGAAGAGGGGAACGGGGGATGTGATTTTCCTTTTATACCTAACCTAGAAGAGAGGAGAGGGGGAGTCTAGCTGAAGCAGAATTGTACAGAAGCAGAACAAGCAAGTTAGTAGGAGGAAGCTGGTAACCAGGAGGCAGGAGGTTCCCATAGTTGCTGGTTACTAAGAGTATTTCTATACCGTTATCAAGGTGGGTAGCAGGGGGCACTTTCCATACAATCAATCACCAAGGGGGGATTTTCACAATAGCAGGTAGACTTGCCAAGCAGGATGAGGTTACAACAGTTACAGGTACTGAGAACATCGTGACCCAAACCTCAACAGTTCAAAGCTTTGAGTACAGCATGACCCAGTAATGCATCTGCAGGGACCATGGCAGGGAGGGCGAAGCTAAGCTGGAGCTTGTCAGGTTTATTTCTAAGATGGAGTCAGTTTAGTTCATTTCAGTGCAACCAGCAAACTGAAACTCTATACCCATAAACAAAAACTCCCTATTACCCCCTACCTCCAGTTCTTGCAAACCACCATTCTACTTTGTCTCTATAAATTTATCTACTCTAGTTACCTCGCACAAGTGAATCATGCAGTGTTTGTCTTTTTGACTGGCTTGCTTTACTTAACCTGGGTAAAAATCCATGTTGTAGCATGTGTCAGAATTTCCTTCCTTTCTGAGGCTGAATAATGTTCCATTGTGTTATATCGAACTCAGCACAGAAAGTCAACACCAGAACAAAAGTATGCCAAATTACAGGGTTTATTGCCGGCGACCACGGAGGACTCACGTCTCTCCAACCCGTGGCCCCGAAAGAAGAGAGACAAGACCTTTTTATACCCGCAAAACCACCTTGGGAGTGGGGGTGGAGATGGGAATGAAAGCTGTCAATCACCTCCCAGGTTAAGACGTGGGTGAGGGGCTTCAGAAATTCCTAGGGCCAATAGATTCAAATCACCTTCTGGGCGGAGAGGAGGGTGAGGGGGTTCCGGACCTTACGAGGGCCAGGGGACTATTTGACATTCTGATTGTTATTTAAGGGTTCACAGATGCTAAGATTAGCATTCATTTACACATCGTCTGGGTAGGGGTGGGATCCATAGACTTTCAGTTGCTTGGCGCCAGGATGGAATGATCTGGGGGTGCTTACTCTGGGAAACAAAGGCCAGCAATTCTGGCAGATAAGAGAAGGTATGCAGCTTTACCTTTCTTTGCATCCTGCAAATGATCTAGCAATTTACAGAAACCAAGGTTAGCAGTCCTTGAGGAGAATGGAAACATTTTTGTCTTTTATAAGATGGCAGTATACAGGTTCCAACTTAAGTTAGCTATATCACAATTGTATGGATATTTTGTACACATACATATATCCATACAATGGAACGTTATTCATTCATCCATTGATGGACACTTGAGTTGTCTCCATTTTTTTTAGCTTTTGTGAACAGTGCTTTTATGAAGACAGGTTTATAAATATCTATTCAAATGCCTGCTTTCAAATGTTTGTGTATATCCCCAGCAGGAGAATTGCTGGATCACATACTAATTCTATTCTTATTTTTTGGAGGAAGTGTTATGCTGTTTTCCATAGTAGTTGTACCATTTTATATTCCTGCCAACAGTTCACAAAGTTTTCAAGTGCTCTACACACATACCAATACTTATCTTCTGTTTTAGCTTCTGTATGTTTTGATAAGAGTCATCCCAGTGGGTGTGAGATGGTACATTCACTTTTACACTTGAAAAACTCAACAAAAGCTGAGGGCATTGGCAGAGTGTAATAAAATGTGTAAAAAAATAGGAAAAATATTTATTTTCTTCAAATTTAGTGGTATTCGAACCAGAAATGTGCCAAGTACCTCTGTAGCAGGAGCAGCCATGAAAAACAGATCTCTCAAACACCGAATGCAGGAGGAAGAGGGGTTTATTATTATGGCCAGGAGCCTGGACGATAATTTGTTCAACGCCCAGCTGATCTAACAAAGGCAGGTTCAGCCTTTATATAGGTTTAAATTTTAGATATTACAGGTAAAAGAATCTGAGGTTCATAGTTTTAGGACTCACATGTGAAAAGGTTTCTGTGTACAGTTTCAGGCATCACAGATGAAAGGGCCCTGGTTTACAATTTTTAGACTCACATGTGAAACAGTCTCTGTTTGCAGTTTCAGAAATCACATATGAAAGGCTTCCGGTTCAGTTTTAGGCCTCATATGTGAAACGGATTTAACGTTTCAGGCATCACAAATGAAAGAGGCCGTATTACAGTTTTTAGACTCACATGTGAAACGGTTTCTGCTTACAGTTTCAGAAATCACATATTAAAGGGTTCCAGTTCACAGTTTTAGGACTCATGGCCAGAGTGGTGGCTCATGCCTGTAATCCAAGCGCTTTAGAGGCCAAGGAAGGTGGATCACCTGAGGTTGGCAGTTTAAGACCAGTCTGACCAATACTGTGAAACCCCATCTTTAAAAAAAAAATAAAAATAATAAATAACTTTAAAAAAAAGGACTCACATGCGAAAAGGTTTCTGTTGGCTGGAGGACAGTGATGCCCGCGGGTGATGGGGACGTGAAGCTAGGCACCCTGGGGAGTGGCAGCAAGAGCAGTAGCAACGCCAGCCACCAGAGCCCCAGTGGCGCGGGAGCTTTGGCGAAAAGGGGAGGCTAAGCGGCGACAGCATTGGCTTTTCCGACGGGGGGCGGGGAGATACTGCTGAACTTGGCGCTGATGCTGCTGGGGCCTACCGGCTGTGGGTGCCCTGGCGACAGTGGGGTCTGGGGTCTGGGTCCAAGGCGCGGCAGGCGAAGAGACACCTGCCGTCTCTCTGCCTCACATTGGGAAGTGGGACTTCAGCTTGGAGCAGCTGCGTCAGTACAACGGGTCCCGCAACCCGCTCATCCTGCTCTCGGTCAGTGGGAAAAGTATTTCATGTGACCAAAGGAAACAAGTTCTACGGCCAGTCGGGTCCATATGGAATATTTGCTGAGAGGGATGCCTCTAGAGGACTGGCAACGTTTTTGCCTAGATAAACATGCACTTAGAGAGGAATATGATGATCTCTCAGATTTGAATGCAGTACAAATGGAGAGTGTTCCAGAATGGAAAATGCAGTTTAAAGAAAAATATGATGATGTAGGCAGACTCCTAAAACCAGGGGAAGAGTCATCAGAATATACAGATGAGGACGATACCAAGGATCACAATAAACAGGATTGAACTTCGTAAACAACCAAAGTCAGGGGCCTTCAGAACTGCAATTCTTACTCCCCTTTCACAGAATGTCCAGCATCTTTGGATTTGAGTTACCTGCTGTGAAAAACATTCAACAAATTGTGTACAAGAGAAATGAATCTCACTATGAAGATTTGAATTCTAGACATTATTTATGCTGCCAATTCATTTGTTGCAGTTGTTTGTAATGTCTAGTGGGGCTTCATCATCCTGAAAAGAAAGAGACAGGGATTTTTTTGAAGAGCAACAAAGTCACAAGATTATTTCTTTTCTTTCCTTCCGTTTTTCCTTCTTTCCTTCCTTCCCTTCTCTTTCTTTCTTGTTGAAATATATTGAAGACAACCAGATGTGTATCTGCTACTCAAGTGTACAAATCTCCTCAAGAAACATCAAGGGACTCCTATGTCACATACTGTGTTTTTCTTTTGCCAGTGGTGGGGGAGGAGACCTGAGCAGGGGAGGCGGCGGGGATACACAACAATTTGAGTAGTTTAGGCTGCTGAAACATTAAAATGTGAATTCCCAAGCTTTCTTTTCGGCTTTGTCAGGGAAAAGGAAAATATCTTTATTTCTAAGAAATCTTTGGAAATTAAGAGAAGGAATTTCAAGTGGGTTTTAGTCAGAACTGGCTCCCCAGTAGAAAGATCATTTGAAACCAGTTTTTATCCCTTCTCTTTCCTTCCCTTCTTCCCCTCAATCAAATCGATATTAATTGTGCCTTATTTCACTTAACATAGACTTGAATTATTTTTCGGGAAAGCCCCTATGATGAATTCAGAAGTCACGACAAGCAAGCATTAAGACTGGAGTTGGAATGCTCTGTTGACCACAACACCTTGATATCATTCTGTATATATAGAATGTAAAAGGAATATTCAGTGTTAACTGCCATATATTTAATATACACAAACTTAATTAGCATTGTAATGGCCAAATGCATTCCCCCGTGCTTTTCTCTTTTCAAAGAAATTGAAAACCAAATCAAATCTTATCTCCTACAGCTGCCTAATTTTAGGAGTCTGACCTTCCATATCTCACTGCTGTGGGTGCATGGGACTGTGGAGTGGATGTCTGTGTGAGTGTGTCGGAATGTGTGTAAGAGTGCCTTGGAAGGGACTCTTTCTGCAGATACTGAAAATACAAGTACCATTTCAATAAAGTACCTACAATAAACCAAAATAAGCATAGGCCGGGCGCGGAGGCTCACGCCTGTAATCCCAGCACTTTAGGAGGCTGAGGCGGGCGGATCACGAGGTCAAGAGATCGAGACCATCCTGGCCATGGTGAAACCCCATTTTAGTCTCTACTAAAAATACAAAAATTAGCCAGGTGTGGTGGCACGCATCTGTGGTCCCAGCTACTCGGGAGGCTGAGGTGGAAGAATCGCTTGAACCCAGGCGGCGGTTGCAGTGAGCCGAGATTGCGCCACTGCACTGCAGCCTGGCGACAGAGTAAGATTCCGTCTCAAAAACAAACAAACAAACAAACAAACAAACAAGAAACAAATAAGCTTGAGTTGGACTTTATATAACACACTGTAAGCCAGTGCATTATGATGCAGTTGTAAGATTGTGCGTTTGATTCGAGATAAGGAAAACCTTGGAAATGAAAAGCAGACACTGGTTAACCAAGTTGTACCCATTGTACCACATTCAGCATAACTTTAGGAAGAAATTCCACTTTGTGGAACATTCTCTGGAGATCTGAGATCATTCCGGTAACAATTGGTATATTAAAATATACATATTTTTACTTTATATTTTGGTGCCAACTGATTATACTAGATTACAGCACTCCAGGTGGTAGTTATTGAACACAAGACATTAAGATATTATACTGATAGACATTAAATTATTCTTAGGTTGAAAATGCCCCACATATATCAGTTATTTGATTTCATTATGATTACTTAGGTTCTGGGTTGGGGACAAGTTCACTTAGACAAATTTAACAAGCCGCCAGTCAAAGACTTCCGCTTTATAGATCTATGCAGAAGCCATCAAACAAGGCGTAACTTTTAACTGCAACAAGAGGCTAAAGTATGTGAAATACTACATTCTACTTGGTCTTGCAGTGTTTTGTAGGAAGCTTTCTTCAGCCAAATCTTTGCTGAAGACTGGTTGTGGAGTGTTGGTAAATGCTTTGTGTGTTTTTACGTAAAATATTTTCTACACAAGACGTTTGTCAAAAATATATGTCCTCTGGCGTAAACCGATTATATATGAATCATTTGAGCCTAAAGTCCAGTAATAAACTATATTTGTGACTAGAGAAATGCTAAATATACATGCAGTAAAAATCGTGTGGTCTGTTAAGAAAAATGAGTAATTTGTGTTTCGGAGGAGAAATAAACCGTGCTCTGTAGATAACTGCTCAAAAAAGAAAGAAAAGAAAATGTTTCAGGAATCACATACGAAAGAATTCTAGTGAACACTTTTAGGCCTCAAATGTGAGACGGTTTCTTTTTACCGTTTCAGGCATCACACATGCAAGGTCTCTCGTTTATAGTTGTAGGCACAAATGGGAAACGATTTCTGTTTACCGTTTCAGGCATCACATATGAAAGGGCTCCGGTTTACAGTTTTAGGCCTCAGGTTGTGAAACGGTTTCTGTTTACCGTTTCAGGCACCGCACATGAAAGGTCCCCGGTTTACAGTTTTAGGCACAAATGGGAAATGGTTTCTGTATACCTGTTCAGGTATCACACATGCAAGGGCTCCGGTTTACAGTTTTAGGTTTCAAATGTAAAAGGGTTTCTTTTTACCATTTCAGGCATCACACATGCAAGGTCCCTATTTAACAGTTTTAGGTTTCAAATGTGAAACGGTTTCTGTTTACCGTTTCAGGTATCACACATGCAAGGTCTCTCGTTTATACTTTTAGGCACAAATGGGAAACGCTTTCTGTTTATCATTTCAGGCATCATATATGAAAGGGTTCCGGTTTACAGTTTTAGGTTTCAAATGTGAAACGGTTTCTTTTTATCGTTTCAGACATCACACATGCAAGGTCCCCGGTTTACAGTTTAAGGTTTCAAATGGGAAACGGTTTCTTTTTACCGTTTCAGGCATCACACATGCAAGGTCCCCGGTTTACAGTTTTAGGTTACAAATGTGAAACGGTTTCTTTTTACCGTTTCAGGCATCACATATGAAAGGGCTCCGCTTTAGAGTTTTAGGCCTCAGGAGTGAAACGGTTTCTGTTTAACATTTTAGGCATCATACATGAAAGAGCTCCTGTTTACAGTTTTAGGCCTCACACATGAACTGTACTCTGTTCACCATTTCAGGCATCATATATAAGAGGGCCCCGGTTTACAGTTTTAGGCCTCACGTGTGAAACGGTTTCTCTTTATTGTTTCAAGCACCACACATGCAAGGTCCCCAGTTACAGTTTTAGGCAACAATGTGAAACGGTTTCTGTATACCTTTTCAGACATCACACATGCAAGGGCTCCGGTTTACAGTTTTAGGTTTCAAATGTGAAACGGTTCCTTTTTATCATTTCAGACATCACACATGCAAGGTCCCCGGTTTACAGTTTTACATTTCAAATGTGAAACGGTTTCTGTATACCTTTTCAGACTTCACACATGCAAGGTCCCCGGTTTACAGTTGTAGGTTTCAAATGTGAAACGGTTTCTTTATATCGTTTCAGACATCACACATGCAAGGTCCCCGGTTTACAGTTTTAGGTTTCAAATGTGAAACGGTTCCTTTATATCGTTTCAGACATCACACATGCAAGGTCCCCAGTTTACAGTTTTAGGTTTCAAATGTTAAACGGTTTCTTTTTATCGTTTCAGACATCACACATGCAAGGTCCCCGGTTTACAGTTTTAGGTTTCAAATGTGAAACGGTTCCTTTATATTGTTTCAGACATCACACATGCAAGGTCCCCGGTTTACAGTTTTACGTTTCAAATGTGAAACGGTTTCTTTTTATCGTTTCAGACATCACACATACAAGGTCCCCGGTTTACAGTTTTAGGTTTCAAATGTGAAACAGTTCCTTTATATCGTTTCAGACATCACACATGCAAGGTCCCCGGTTTACAGTTTTACGTTTCAAATGTGAAACGGTTCCTTTATATCGTTTCAGACTTCACACATGCAAGGTCCCCGGTTTACAGTTTTACGTTTCAAATGTGAAACGGTTCCTTTATATCGTTTCAGACATCACACATGCAAGGTCCCCGGTTTACAGTTTTACGTTTCAAATGTGAAACGGTTTCTTTTTACCGTTTCATGTCCCGACCCGCGGGAGGAGAAACAGAGACCCTAGGGAGGGAGTGGGGATTGAGAGAGAGACAGGAGACGAGAAGAATGGAGACAAGTCAAAGATCTGATCAAGTCTCGTTTATTAGGTACAAAGCAGCTGCTTATAAGCAAGCAAAGGCCGGAAGCTCTGAGTTCTGACGTCAGTAAGAAACCATGGAGACGAGGCTGCAGGCTGGCCTCGTGACTAAGAAGAACGTGAAACTTAGATAAGGGAAGCAGAAGCTTGAGCAACAAGATCACAAGACGCTCAAGATGGCCACTGCTCCCTACAGTTTCAGGCATCACACATGCAAGGTCCCCGGTTAACAGTTTTAGGTTTCCAATGTGAAACGGTTTCTTTTTACCGTTTCAGGCATCACATATGAAAGGGCTCCGGTTTACAGTTTTAGGCCTCACAAGTGAAACGGTTTGTTTAACATTTCAGGCATCACAAATGCAAGGTCCCCGGTTTACAGTTTTAGGCCTCAAATGTGAAACGGTTTCTTTTTACCGTTTCGGGCATCACACATGCAAGGGCTCCGGTTTACAGTTTTAGGTTTCAAATGTGAAACGGTTTCTTTTTACCGTTTCGGGCATCACACATGCAAGCACCCCGATTTACAGTTTTAGGCACAAATGTGAAATGGCCTCTGTTTACAGTTTCAGAAGTTACATATGAAAGGGTTCCAGTTCACAGTTTTAGGACTCACGGCCGGGCGTGGTGGCTCATGCGTGTAATCCAAGCACTTTGGAGGCCAAGGCGGTCGGATCACCTGAGGTCGGGAGTTTCAGAGCAGCCTGACCAATAGGGTGAAACCTCGTCTTTAAAAAAAAAGAAAGAAATAAAAATAAATAAATATTTTTAAAAAGGACTCACATGTGAAAAGGTTTCTGCTGGCTGGCGGGCAATGATGGCGGCGGGTGATGGGGACGTGAAGCCAGGCACCCTGGGGAGTGGCAGCGAGAGCAGTAGCAACGCCAGCCACCAGAGCCCCGGTGGCGTGGGAGTGTCAGCGGAAGGGGGAGGCTGGGCGGCGGCCGCGGCATTGGCTCTTCTGACCGGCGGGGGCGGGGACATGCTGCTGAATGTGGCGCTGGTGCTGCTGGGGGCCTACTGGGTGTGGGTGCGCTGGGGGGGGGCGGGGTCTGGGGTCTGGGTCCGGGGCGGGGCGGGCGAGGAGACACCCGCCGCCTCTCTGCCTCACATTGGGAAGTGGGACTTCAGCTTGGAGCAGCTGGGCCTGTACGACGGGTCCCGCAACCCGCTCATCCTGCTCTCGGTCAGTGGGAAAAGTCTTCCATGTGACCAAAGGAAACAAGTTCTAAGGCCGGGCGGGTCCGTATGGAATATTTGCTGGGAGGGATGCCTCTAGAGGACTGGCAACATTTTTGCCTAGATAAACATGCACTTAGAGAGGAATATGATGATCTCTCAGATTTGAATGCAGTACAAATGGAGAGTGCTCGAGAATGGGAAATGCAGTTTAAAGAAAAATATGATGATGTAGGCAGACTCCTAAAACCAGGGGAAGAGTCATCAGAATATACAGATGAGGACGATACCAAGGATCACAATAAACAGGATTGAACTTCGTAAACAACCAAAGTCAGGGGCCTTCAGAACTGCAATTCTTACTCCCTTTCACAGAATGTCCAGCATCTTTGGATTTGAGTTACCTGCTGCGAAAAACATTCAACAAATTGTGTACAAGAGAAATGAATCTCACTATGAAGATTTGAATTCTAGACATTATTTATGCTGCCAATTCATTTGTTGCAGTTGTTTGTAATGTCTAGTGGGGCTTCATCATCCTGAAAAGAAAGAGACAGGGATTTTTTTGAAGAGCAACAAAGTCACAAGATTATTTCTTTTCTTTCCTTCCGTTTTTCCTTCTTTCCTTCCTTCCCTTCTCTTTCTTGTTGAAATATATTGAAGACAACCAGATGTGTATCTGCTACTCAAGTGTACAAATCTCCTCAAGAAACATCAAGGGACTCCTATGTCACATACTGTGTTTTTCTTTTGCCAGTGGTGGGGGAGGAGACCTGAGCAGGGGAGGCGGCGGGGATACACAACAATTTGAGTAGTTTAGGCTGCTGAAACATTAAAATGTGAATTCCCAAGCTTTCTTTTCGGCTTTGTCAGGGAAAAGGAAAATATCTTTATTTCTAAGAAATCTTTGGAAATTAAGAGAAGGAATTTCAAGTGGGTTTTAGTCAGAACTGGCTCCCCAGTAGAAAGATCATTTGAAACCAGTTTTTATCCCTTCTCTTTCCTTCCCTTCTTCCCCTCAATCAAATCGATATTAATTGTGCCTTATTTCACTTAACATAGACTTGAATTATTTTTCGGGAAAGCCCCTATGATGAATTCAGAAGTCACTACAAGCAAGCATTAAGACTGGAGTTGGAATGCTCTGTTGACCACAACACCTTGATATCATTCTGTATATATAGAATGTAAAAGGAATATTCAGTGTTAACTGCCATATATTTAATATACACAAACTTAATTAGCATTGTAATGGCCAAATGCATTCCCCCGTGCTTTTCTCTTTTCAAAGAAATTGAAAACCAAATCAATTCTTATCTCCTACAGCTGCCTAATTTTAGGAGTCTGACCTTCCATATCTCACTGCTGTGGGTGCATGGGACTGTGGAGTGGATGTCTGTGTGAGTGTGTCGGAATGTGTGTAAGAGTGCCTTGGAAGGGACTCTTTCTGCAGATACTGAAAATACAAGTACCATTTCAATAAAGTACCTACAGTAAACCAAAATAAGCATAGGCCGGGCGCGGAGGCTCACGCCTGTAATCCCAGCACTTTAAGAGGCTGAGGCGGGCGGATCACGAGGTCAAGAGATCGAGACCATCCTGGCCATGGTGAAACCCCATTTTAGTCTCTACTAAAAATACAAAAATTAGCCAGGTGTGGTGGCACGCATCTGTGGTCCCAGCTACTCGGGAGGCTGAGGTGGAAGAATCGCTTGAACCCAGGCGGCGGTTGCAGTGAGCCGAGATTGCGCCACTGCACTGCAGCCTGGCGACAGAGTAAGATTCCGTCTCAAAAACAAACAAACAAACAAACAAACAAGAAACAAATAAGCTTGAGTTGGACTTTATATAACACACTGTAAGCCAGTGCATTATGATGCAGTTGTAAGATTGTGCGTTTGATTCGAGATAAGGAAAACCTTGGAAATGAAAAGCAGACACTGGTTAACCAAGTTGTACCCATTGTACCACATTCAGCATAACTTTAGGAAGAAATTCCACTTTGTGGAACATTCTCTGGAGATCTGAGATCATTCCGGTAACAATTGGTATATTAAAATATACATATTTTTACTTTATATTTTGGTGCCAACTGATTATACTAGATTACAGCACTCCAGGTGGTAGTTATTGAACACAAGACATTAAGATATTATACTGATAGACATTAAATTATTCTTAGGTTGAAAATGCCCCACATATATCAGTTATTTGATTTCATTATGATTACTTAGGTTCTGGGTTGGGGACAAGTTCACTTAGACAAATTTAACAAGCCGCCAGTCAAAGACTTCCGCTTTATAGATCTATGCAGAAGCCATCAAACAAGGCATAACTTTTAACTGCAACAAGAGGCTAAAGTATGTGAAATACTACATTCTACTTGGTCTTGCAGTGTTTTGTAGGAAACTTTCTTCAGCCAAATCTTTGCTGAAGACTGGTTGTGGAGTGTTGGTAAATGCTTTGTGTGTTTTTACGTAAAACATTTTCTACACAAGACGTTTGTCAAAAATATATGTCCTCTGGCGTAAACCGATTATATATGAATCATTTGAGCCTAAAGTCCAGTAATAAACTATATTTGTGACTAGAGAAATGCTAAATATACATGCAGTAAAAATCGTGTGGTCTGTTAAGAAAAATGAGTAATTTGTGTTTCGGAGGAGAAATAAACCGTGCTCTGTAGATAACTGCTCAAAAAAGAAAGAAAAGAAAATGTTTCAGGAATCACATACGAAAGAATTCTAGTGAACACTTTTAGGCCTCAAATGTGAGACGGTTTCTTTTTACCGTTTCAGGCATCACACATGCAAGGTCTCTCGTTTATAGTTGTAGGCACAAATGGGAAACGATTTCTGTTTACCGTTTCAGGCATCACATATGAAAGGGCTCCGGTTTAGAGTTTTAGGCCTCAGGTTGTGAAACGGTTTCTGTTTACCGTTTCAGGCACCGCACATGAAAGGTCCCCGGTTTACAGTTTTAGGCACAAATGTGAAATGGTTTCTGTATACCTTTTCAGGTATCACACATGCAAGGGCTCCGGTTTACAGTTTTAGGTTTCAAATGTAAAAGGGTTTCTTTTTACCATTTCAGGCATCACACATGCAAGGTCCCTATTTAACAGTTTTAGGTTTCAAATGTGAAACGGTTTCTGTTTACCGTTTCAGGTATCACACATGCAAGGTCTCTCGTTTATACTTTTAGGCACAAATGGGAAACGCTTTCTGTTTATCGTTTCAGGCATCACATATGAAAGGGTTCCGGTTTAGTTTTAGGTTTCAAATGTGAAATGGTTTCTTTTTATCGTTTCAGACATCACACATGCAAGGTCCCCGGTTTACAGTTTAAGGTTTCAAATGGGAAACGGTTTCTTTTTACCGTTTCAGGCATCACACATGCAAGGTCCCCGGTTTACAGTTTTAGGTTACAAATGTGAAACGGTTTCTTTTTACCGTTTCAGGCATCACATATGAAAGGGCTCCGCTTTAGAGTTTTAGGCCTCAGGAGTGAAACGGTTTCTGTTTAACATTTTAGGCATCATACATGAAAGAGCTCCTGTTTACAGTTTTAGGCCTCACACATGAACTGTACTCTGTTCACCATTTCAGGCATCATATATAAGAGGGCCCCGGTTTACAGTTTTAGGCCTCACGTGTGAAACGGTTTCTCTTTATTGTTTCAGGCACCACACATGCAAGGTCCCCGGTTACAGTTTTAGGCAACAATGTGAAACGGTTTCTGTATACCTTTTCAGACATCACACATGCAAGGGCTCCGGTTTACAGTTTTAGGTTTCAAATGTGAAACGGTTCCTTTTTATCATTTCAGACATCACACATGCAAGGTCCCCGGTTTACAGTTTTACATTTCAAATGTGAAACGGTTCCTTTATATCGTTTCAGACATCACACATGCAAGGTCCCCGGTTTACAGTTTTAGGTTTCAAATGTGAAACGGTTTCTTTTTACCGTTTCATGTCCCGACCCGCGGGAGGAGAAACAGAGACCCTAGGGAGGGAGTGGGGATTGAGAGAGAGACAGGAGACGGGAAGAATGGAGACAAGTCAAAGATCTGATCAAGTCTCGTTTATTAGGTACAAAGCAGCTGCTTATAAGCAAGCAAAGGCCGGAAGCTCTGAGTTCTGACGTCAGTAAGAAACCATGGAGACGAGGCTGCAGGCTGGCCTCGTGACTAAGAAGAACGTGAAACTTAGATAAGGGAAGCAGAAGCTTGAGCAACAAGATCACAAGACGCTCAAGATGGCCACTGCTCCCTACAGTTTCAGGCATCACACATGCAAGGTCCCCGGTTAACAGTTTTAGGTTTCCAATGTGAAACGGTTTCTTTTTACCGTTTCAGGCATCACATATGAAAGGGCTCCGGTTTACAGTTTTAGGCCTCACAAGTGAAACGGTTTGTTTAACATTTCAGGCATCACAAATGCAAGGTCCCCGGTTTACAGTTTTAGGCCTCAAATGTGAAACGGTTTCTTTTTACCGTTTCGGGCATCACACATGCAAGGGCTCCGGTTTACAGTTTTAGGTTTCAAATGTGAAACGGTTTCTTTTTACCGTTTCGGGCATCACACATGCAAGCACCCCGATTTACAGTTTTAGGCACAAATGTGAAATGGCCTCTGTTTACAGTTTCAGAAGTTACATATGAAAGGGTTCCAGTTCACAGTTTTAGGACTCACGGCCGGGCGTGGTGGCTCATGCGTGTAATCCAAGCACTTTGGAGGCCAAGGCGGTCGGATCACCTGAGGTCGGGAGTTTCAGAGCAGCCTGACCAATAGGGTGAAACCTCGTCTTTAAAAAAAAAGAAAGAAATAAAAATAAATAAATATTTTTAAAAGGACTCACATGTGAAAAGGTTTCTGCTGGCTGGCGGGCAATGATGGCGGCGGGTGATGGGGACGTGAAGCCAGGCACCCTGGGGAGTGGCAGCGAGAGCAGTAGCAACGCCAGCCACCAGAGCCCCGGTGGCGTGGGAGTGTCAGCGGAAGGGGGAGGCTGGGCGGCGGCCGCGGCATTGGCTCTTCTGACCGGCGGGGGCGGGGACATGCTGCTGAATGTGGCGCTGGTGCTGCTGGGGGCCTACTGGGTGTGGGTGCGCTGGGGGGGGGGCGGGGTCTGGGGTCTGGGTCCGGGGCGGGGCGGGCGAGGAGACACCCGCCGCCTCTCTGCCTCACATTGGGAAGTGGGACTTCAGCTTGGAGCAGCTGGGCCTGTACGACGGGTCCCGCAACCCGCTCATCCTGCTCTCGGTCAGTGGGAAAAGTCTTCCATGTGACCAAAGGAAACAAGTTCTAAGGCCGGGCGGGTCCCTATGGAATATTTGCTGGGAGGGATGCCTCTAGAGGACTGGCAACATTTTTGCCTAGATAAACATGCACTTAGAGAGGAATATGATGATCTCTCAGATTTGAATGCAGTACAAATGGAGAGTGCTCGAGAATGGGAAATGCAGTTTAAAGAAAAATATGATGATGTAGGCAGACTCCTAAAACCAGGGGAAGAGTCATCAGAATATACAGATGAGGACGATACCAAGGATCACAATAAACAGGATTGAACTTCGTAAACAACCAAAGTCAGGGGCCTTCAGAACTGCAATTCTTACTCCCTTTCACAGAATGTCCAGCATCTTTGGATTTGAGTTACCTGCTGCGAAAAACATTCAACAAATTGTGTACAAGAGAAATGAATCTCACTATGAAGATTTGAATTCTAGACATTATTTATGCTGCCAATTCATTTGTTGCAGTTGTTTGTAATGTCTAGTGGGGCTTCATCATCCTGAAAAGGAAGAGACAGGGATTTTGTTTGAAGAGCAACAAAGTCACAAGATTATTTCTTTTCTTTTCTTCTGTTTGTCCTTTTTTCCTTTCTTTCTTGTTAAGATATATTGAAGACAACCAGATATGTATTTGATGCTCAAGTGTACAAAACTCCTCAAGAAACATCAAGGGTCTCCTATGTCACATACTGTGTTTTTATTTATTTATTTATTTTTGGAGATGGAGTTTTCACTCTTGTTACCCAATCTAGAGTGCAATGGCGCCATCTGGGCTCGCTGCAACGTCTGCCTTTTTGGTTCAGACAATTCTTTTGCCTCAGCCTCCTGAGTACCTGTGATTTCAGGCACACGCCACCATACCCTGTTAATGTTTTTCATTTTTGTTTTTAGTAGAGACAGAGTTTCACCATGTTGACTAGGATGGTCCCGATCTCTTGACTTTGTGATGCACCGATGTTGGACTTTCAAAGTTTTGGGATTACAGGCGTGAGCCACTGCACCTGGCCAGTTAATTCTTTTATGGCCAGCCCTCAGAGAAAGTCACCGTGTTTGTGGTAGTCATGAAAGTCCTGCTTCTGTGGTTTTCTTAATTGCTAAGGTACCGGGAAACCTGTTCATGAAGTTTCACAGTTCACAATGTGGGTTTCTGTGTTATCCAATTAGTCGTTAAATCAGTCTCTTAGTCTTGAGAATAGGTCAGTTCAGTTAAACATTTAACAGGACTGTCTCAAGGCAAAGGTCAATGGTTTGAACCAACTATAATGGGGTTTCACCAAGAAAACCAAAGGTCAATGGTTAGAACCAACTATTAATTCAGTGTTTTGGTTCCAGAGGACAGCCAATCGAGAAATTTCTAGATATGCTTGAAGCATCTTCAGTTTGAATGGGAGTGGGCAGTGGCAATCTGACAGAATTTCTGGTTTGCAGTTTACATAAGGTATTCTGGTAAAATTTCTGAGTAGTTCCTACATGAGTTGTGGTGATTTCTCTGCAGTCTATTGTGGGTGTCCGGCACGTCTGCCGGGGGGGCTTCTGACCAGTGGAGAGCCTCAACCCCACTCAAGTCTTCTCAACCCGGAAGAGAGAGTGCACGGAAAAAAAGATAGAGAATGGGGTCTGGAGGACTGCCAGGCAATGCCAGAACAGCAAGTGCCAAGACAACAAGTTTATTTGTGCAAACTACAGGTTATAAACCTTTCAGTGTTTAAGGAGTGACATACATTCTATTGTATCTTAAAATAAAATCAAGAACATAAATCACAAGATAAAAGGGGTACAGAAAGTATGACTCTTAATCATAGGGTGTACAGCAAAGGGACAATAAAATTTGCAAAAGGGGGTCATAAATCTAAACGTGTTTTTCTAAAATCAGTTAAGCAATCAAGTAAGATTGTTAACAAGGTATAGCTGTACCTTTCCAAATGTCATTCTAACCTTGCCTATTCATATAGGATCATATGCAAACAATATGATTGAGTTAGCAGAGGTAAACAAAGTCTTAGAGTTATTGTGCCGAGAAGGAACTAGGAGGCACAGAATATCTAACCACACAATGTCTTGTTAGACCACAAAGCCTGAGTGCAGCCATCCTGTTGCAAATGTCAGAGGCAAATATAGATGTTTATAAAATCAGTGTAACCAGACTTCCTCTTTTCCCTTAGCTAAACAACCTCCAGAAGAGGAGAAACGTGTATGGGCTCAAGCTCAAGATGGCAAAGGTCCTGTCAAGGGCCCTTCGCAGGAGCGATCCCCACAGTCTATGTTAAACCATCTAGCTTCAGCTTATGGGAATTCAGGAAATGTGCAGTTTAATTTAGGCAATTAAAAGTCTGAAGGGTAGACAAAATCAGCAACATTACTTTAAATAGCCATTCTGAGATTTTTTTGTTTTTGTTTTGAGACAGATTCTCACTTTGTCTTCCAGGCTGGAGTGCAGTGGCAATAACATGGTTTACTGCAGCCTCAACCTCCCTGGTTAAAGGAATCCTTCTACCTCAGCCTTCAAACTAGCTTGACCACAGTGGTGTGCCACCATGTACTTTTTCTAAAGATGGGATTTTTGCCATGTTACCCAGGCTGCTCTCGAACTTCAGGGCTTAAATAATCCTCCATCCTGGCCTCCCTAAGTGCTGGGATTATGTATGTATGTATGTATGTATGTATTTATTTATTTTGAGACGAA